CTTCACAACATTATTTTTTTTGCATCAAATTTAACCTTAACCTTAAGATATTCAACCTACAAGTGACCTCTTCTACACACAAAAATTAAAAAGAATTTGAATAAGTTGCTATTTCTAGCGTTTTATCATTTCTGTTGGGATATGTCAAATAAAATAACTTAATTGGCTTAATTATAGCATATATCTTTAAAAACCGTTTAGATTTCCATTGATATGGTGTTCACATAGTGTCTTGTCCACAAGATTAAGTTGTAACTTGTTTAGATTTGTATCTATGTGGTATCAATATGGCAGATGATTTTATAATCATCTAATTCAACAATATTATAGCATCACAATGTTTAGGGACTTTCTCGTTGGACACCTCCAAGTTATGGAAGATGTCATTTTTGGTGATGAGTCATTATTCTCCAAAGTTATTTACTTTTCCAATATCAAAGAAATTGCCCATACAGGATTTCTGCCTCAAAGTGCAAAATTATTTTCATGACAATCAACGCCCCGAAAAGATAAGAGATTAAACATCAAAAACAACAATTTAGAAGGCTTCCACTAGATATGATACCAGAATACAAACAGGAGGAGTTCGAAATTTCGTTACGCTATTCTATCTTTACAGTTGCCAAGGTTGTTACCAAATATAATGAGGTTGTGTCCAGAAGAATAAGTTATAAGAAGCTAAATCTTACCCAGCAGAGTAAGATGACTGCCTTGATAGTCTGGGATTGATAACTTCGATACTAACTCCGCAAAAGCGGAATCTATTGGAACTTGATTAACCTAAAAGATGATTTCTAAAGGTTTTAAGATGCTTCATTAACTTCGTAAGTTTTAGACAGAATTGTTTACATCGCCCGTTATCACAACCATCCAAAGTTTTTGGTGCCATTGATGTCACATCCAACACTATATTATAGACTACATAGATAGTAGTTATAGACTACATCATAATTCAACCAGATCTAAAACATGTTATGATAGACAAATTTCAAAGTTTTTCACAATTTTCGATTTCCGCCAGTTCTCAATGAATTAGATAATACCAAATTAGAATAACTGACTAAATTAGAATCTAAAAATTATTATTACATCTTTGTTTACTTTTTGTTGATATTTGATTCTTTTTGGAGTTTTTCCTGTTCAAACAAGTGTCCCAGACCGGACGAGAGAAAACAAAAAGCCTTGGCGGTAAGACTAAAAGAGTAGGAGGTGCCAGGTGTGTTATGTTAGGGCCCTCCCTGTGGTCGGGGCCGACGACACCCAACAACTTCTCCGGTTACCGGAGAGTAAACAAAGCCGCCACACACATACTCTGACCCGAGAAAAGACATTCAAGGCGTTCGCGGCTTCTCTCCGACATAGTCATCTGTCAAAAAAAAGAAAAAAAAAAAACAGCAAAAAGTGTACAAGTAAGAACTAAGATGAGAAGACACATATACAATATTTGGAAGTATTAGTATAATTAAAGTTATATCTATCTACCAAAAAAAGTAGTTCTATGCAATATGATGTCAACGATATCCACAGAAAAGTTTGAAAACGAAACAGCTTGAATAATAATATGGGCCAAGAAGTTCAAAATAAATACAAAAATGGAAACGTAATCACCTACCCTATTTGTACACCCTAATCAACGATTAATTTCTAAGAAAACTTGGTATAGACAGATAACTTCGATAGTAAAATGCTTGTATTAAGAAATGCGAACAACTTTTCTAATGATAAATATAGACCAATCATTAATAGAATAATCTCGAAAATAGAGTTTACGCAATTAGAGCTGAATGAATTCTGGTTAAAGATAAAAATCAAATGCTCAACACTTAGCAAAAAAGTGGTGACATTCTTAATCTTACTTACATAACTACCTACCTTTATGAAATTGTATTTTCTGCAATGGTGGTAATAAAGAATAAATTTTGAAGTAGACATAACCCGTTTTTTACTTATATATTTGTGTTTATTTTACTATAAATATGATTTCAAAGATTCCAAATATAACACACCTATCCCTAAATGACGATTTAATTAACATGGTTAATGAAGCTAGTGATAATGTAGAGGAATTTGACTCAGTTAATTTACATTTACTCTGAGAGATCATGCTATAATTAATAATGGAGTCGGATGAGAAAGAGGGATTGTTGATTCTGTCACAAAAGAAGACGATTCATCTACAGAGGACAGTTTTAGCAGTGATGGAAGCGCGTTAAAAAAGGCACATAGTGTGATAAAAAAAGACAACAAAATATTTTGATTCGTCAAATCAGTACACAAATCAATATACTAAAAACTATCCGTTCAAAATACACTCGTGAAAGAGAATGCCAATATACAGACGTAACTGAGATAAAGCAACCTTATTGCTTTATCACGTATAGATATATTCCACAGCAACAGGCAAAACTTAGCCAAAACGATAACGACACATAACTCCTATGGGTCGTTATGGTTATGGAATTGAAAATTTCTGTTTGATGACAGAATAATTGGGGAGGAAAGAAGACCAAGCTGGTATTCGTGACGTATTAACTGTAATTGTGGAAAATTGCAAAAAAATGTATTCACCAAGATCGTGTATTACAACTGACGAGATGTTAGTCGGCTTTAGAAGGAGATGCGCCAGTCAGGCAGTATTTGCCCACTAAACCAAATAAATAAGAATTAAAAATTTTTGGTGTAGGTATCCTGAAATGCAACCTGAAGGACTCTATCAGATGAGTTAGAAGCCTGCTAACGTTTTGAAAAGATTTAGTGACTTATTATTTTGCAATGATAATACAGGAACAATTTTGGGAAAGTATGTAACTTTCTTAGCTGCACCATAGATGTACATGTAGTGTGCGCTGTCGTTCCATCCTGCTGAAACCAAATCCTCCTAAAGGGAATTTGGCCGCGACATAACTCAGGCAGAAGGAAATCAATGACGATCGTACTATTGTCATGCACCATAGGCAGAGATGCGAAAGGGATTTTACCTGTTTCGAATCGAGCGGGTAGAACATTTCGTATCTCTGTCTATGGTGCATGTCATGTAAAGACGATAGCACTAGGAATTAACCGTCATAGTATGCAGTCACAACTTCTTACACTCTACAGCATACACGGTTACCTTTAGGCACCGTTTTATTTGTTAACGAAATCATTAAGGTGGAAGTGAGGTCAACCAAACGTTCCAGAATCTTTATTGATCATCCAAAACATTGTTTCTGCAAAAGCTAATCTTTTTGCAAAATCTTGACACTAATTTTTGATCTATAGCAACTTTGTAAGCGTTAAAATTCAAATATTATATTATCAAACATTTGTATCGAACATCCCTAAAACCTGAGTATGACAAATAACTGATTGCTGGGGATTCAGTTCAAAAGTAACTCGTACTGGATGTTTGCAAGTAACCTTTCCGTCAAATGGGACCCATCTCTTCTCTTTGTTATTCCGAAAGCTAAAAATTATTTGAATCTGATTGATGCGTTGCGTCCGATCTTATAATTTTCTGTATTGCGCTTGATGAATGGTTAAAAAGTCATAAGTAGTACGCGAAGATATAAGATTAAGAACACCACTACGTAAATATTGCACATTACTTCTGTAATTTAATAGACCGTCACCTACAAATTAGTCCAATCTTTTTAAATGTTGTTCAAGGCAAGAGAACGGGCCTAATAATGACATTCCTCACAATCCTAACCGAACTATTAAAGCTAAATTCATTGCTATTTCCAAACAAATTGTCAATTTGTATTTTTTTGGGGAATATGCCAATCTTATTAAGTAATCAGTCAGTTGTGTCCATCCTTGTTTTCTGGCAGCTTCTCCTCCAGTAGTTCAATTCAAAGGAGTTTATTCTTGATTTGCTTCTTTTATTCGTGGTCCATAGTTCGGAACCATACGTGTCTATACGTGCCTATTACACCATTTAATTGTCTGGTAGCAGCTTTCATTTGCCCAATCCTGCTTACAATTTCATAATCGTCGTCGATATTTGATATTTTAATTCCAAACTACTTATAGGCGGCTTTGGTGCTTTTAATATACATCTCCTTGATTAACAAGTCGTTTCTATTTATATATAGAGTTGGAGTTAGTGTCTTGGGTCCAACTTTATACTTAATAATAATTTATATTATTATCGTCCATTGGATGTTATGGAAAGTGAACCAAGTGTACAGCTTTGAATGAGAATTCGTTTATCACCACTCTGCCGAGGTCGCTTGCGGGCGAGGCAGTGGTTATGCAACGATATCAACATAAAGCTGGTGTAATACTATTCGCTCTAGCGCCTCGCCCGCAAGTGACCTCGGCGATATTAGATGATATCGTGCATTTAATGTCTTGGAAGGTGAACCAACTATACAGCAGTTGAATGAGAAATCGGTTATCATCACTCTGCCGAGGTCGCTTGCGAGCGAGGCAGTGATTATGTAACTATATCATCATAAAGCTGGTTCTCTTCCAACTCTCTATAGCGCCCAACTGTTATACTACTTATACAATTTCCGAAGCATATATTCTGCGTCCATTTCGTTTTCTGCTAATATATCTAAGTCGTGCGCAACGTGCAGGGTAAACAGTTTGTGGTTATTTATTTTGATCCCCATATTGACACTTTCCCCGCTATTTTGTTAAAGTATACTTTCACTCACTACGTTTGAAAATGTTGAGGAATATCTGCTATAACAACGCTACACATAAATATACATCAATATATATCCACATATTTATTTGCTGATGATATCAGATTTGAGGGAGTTTTATTAGAATACCTTTCAAATTGTTGTGAAGTTGGTAACAGTTGGTAAGATTAACAGGGAATTTTGTTATATCATGTTTTTTGAAATCAATTTCTGTCAAACTGACGTTTAAACTTTCGTTATTTAAAAAGATAAAATTTAAAAAAAAGCAAATTGCAAAAAGCTCGTTATTTCAAACCTTAATTACAAGGATATTGAAAAATTCAAATTTAAAAAGAAATTATAACAAAATAATTTTGTGTTTACCTGACATAATCGACTTTGCAATAAGTTTTTCCATCCCTTACAAAACACGTACATGACTCGTCGAGAAACCTTTGGCACTCTTGGCATTTCAGGCACGCCGCGTGCCACTCAAGATCCGGGGCTACCCTCAGTATCCATTGATCGTGAATTTGACCTCCACAACCCACGCAATGACTTAATCTCCGTGGTTTTTCTAAAAAAAAGAAATAAATAAATAAATTTAATAAAATTAGGGCTAAAAAATTTGATCCTTTCATACAGTGACTTTTAGTTACTTGCAGTTACTACTAAAATGCAATATACAAGTATGTATATATTTCCATAGAAACCAGGGCGCACCTACTTACTTTGTCCTACATAAAATGCAACATGATACTAATCAGGTAGTTCAGTGGTTTAGCAAGCATAAGATATCACTATGTTCCATATTTTTATTGAACTAGAACTAACACTAGATCTAGAAACATTCTTCAGACGCACGGCTAAAGCCGATACATTCTAGTTCTAGTGTTAGTTCTAGTTTTATACTAGCACTAAAACTAACACAATACCTAGAACTAGAATCATTCGGGTTTAGCTGTCTTGAGTGACGTAGGGCTAAATCCGAATGTTTCTAGTTCTCCGTCTAATGTTAGTTCTAGATTGCACTAACACTATCACTAGAACACTATACAATAATCTTTAAAAATAAAAATAAATTTCATAACCTGGGTGACACCGTTTTAATTTGACAGTTTAATATTTATCATTGATACCGAGAGAGGGCACTTTTAATACCTAGGTGGTCCTTATTATATAAATTAATTTTTACATTCGATTGTTATATTGTTATAATAATTTTTAAATATTAAACTATTTCATTAAATTTTTATAAATTATTAAATAATATATAAATAAAAAATATTAATATAATCTAATTTTTTTCTACTTTATCGACGNAGCAAAAAGTTATGATCCATAACCCGTTTCAACCCAACTATTATAACTTTTTAGAACCAAACCGAAAATTACCAAATTATTAAAATGAACAATTTTCATTATAAAAATATATCATTGCTCAAAAATTAAAACCGATGGAGGTATACGTTGTGCATAAACATTGTTTATAATTAACCAGAATGTTTTGATCCATAACCAGTTTCAACCCAACTATTATAATTTTTTAGAACCAAGTCGAAAACCATGATATTACCCAAAATGGACAGATTTCTTATAAAAATGTATGATTGCTCAAAAATTCAAACCGATGGAGGAATACGTTATGTATAAAAATTGTTTATAATTAACAAAAAAGTTATAATCCATAACCAGTACCAACCTGGCTATAATACTTTTTTAGAACCAAGCCGAAAATCACGAAATTATCAAAATGAACAGTTTTCATTATAAAAATGTGTTATTGCTCAAATATTAAAACCGATGGAGGAATACGTTGTGAATAAAAATTGTTTATAATTAACCAGAAAGTTTTGATCCATAACCAGTTTCAACCCAGCTATTATGATTTTTTAGAACCAAGCCGAAAACCATGATATTATCCAAAATGGACAGATTTCATTATAAAAAGGTGTCATTGCTCAAAAATTAAAAATGATAGAGAAGTACGTTGTGTATAAAAATTGTTTATAATTAAACAAAAAATTATAATCCATACCCAGTTTCAAGAGTTATTAATTTTTTTTAGAAACAAGCCGAAAATCACGAAATTACCAAAATGGACAGGTTTCTTACGAAAATGGATCATTGCTGAAAAATTAAAACCGATGGAGGAATACGTTGCGCATAAAAATTGTTCATAATTAACCAAAAAGTTGTGATCCATAACCAGTTAAAACCCAGCTATTATAATTTTTTAGAGCCAAGCCGAAAACCATGATGTTACCCAAAATGGACAGTTTTCTTACAAAAATATATGATTGCTCAAAAATTAGAACTGATGGAGGAATACGTTGTGTATAAAAAGTGTTTATAATTAATCAGAAAATTATAATCCATAAGCAGTTTCAACCTAGCTATAATATTTTCTTAGAACGAAGCCGAAAATCTTCAAATTATCAAAATAGACAGTTTTCTTACAAAAATGTGTCATTGCTCAAAAATTAAAACCGATGGAGGAATACGTTGCGCATAAAAATTGTTTATAATTAACCAAAAAGTTTTGATCCATAACCAGTTTCAACCGAGCTATAATAATTTTTTAGAGCCAAGTCGAAAATCACGAAATTATCAAAATGGACAGTTTTCTTACATAAATGTATCAAGGTTCAAAACTTAAAACCGATGGAGAAATACGTTGTGAATAAAAATTGTTTATAATTAATCAATAAATTATAATCCATAAGCAGTTTCAGTCCAGCTACTATAGAAAATTACCAAATTATCCAAATGAACAATTTTCATTACAAAAATTTATCATTGCTCAAAAATTAAAACCGATGGAGAAATACGTTGCGCATAAGAATTGTTTATATAATTGTCCAAGAAATTATGATCCATAACCAGTTTCAACCCAGTCGTTATATTTTTTTAGAACCAAGCCGAAAATCACGAAATTGCCAAAATGAACAGTTCTCATTATAAAAATCCATTGTTGCTCAAAAAGTAAACCTATGGGGTTTAAACAATATATTTATATTGTGCATGAAAATTGTTCATAATTAATCAAAAATGATGATCCATAACAAATTTCAACCCAACTATTATCATTTTCAAGAATTGACCAAAAATCTCCAATTTATCAAAATGAACAGCTTCATTATAAAAATCCACAATTACTTAAAATCTAGAACCGATGGAGAAGCACGTTGTTTGTGATAATTGTTCATAAATACATCATAATCTTCCTTCTAAAAGACATAGATAAAAATGTTAGAGACAAGTTCAATTCTTGATTTGATTTTCTAATGCTACTTTCTTTCTTAAATAGCAACGGGCAAAACCTATCCCAAAATTGACTTCAGAATCAGCTTGTTTGTTAATCTAAGCGATAATATATAAAATATCTATGTTTTTTAATAAAATTTCTACTTTTATGAAATTTTTGTTTTCATGGTAAACTGAAATGAGAAGAGAAAGAGAACATAAATCGCACATAGTGCACATGTTGACAACCCCCCATATTTCTTATACACAGTGCATTAGCCGACGACGACGTCGACGTTTATTTTCGTTCCGTCAACACGAGAACCTACACGTTCAGTAAAGTCAAATGGTTCGTTTCGATTTCGAAGCCCGTCGCGTCTCGTACAAACTCACTTCTTGTATAAACAAGAAGCGCCAGGACGGTCGCCGCGCGTTTATCATACGTTAATTAATACGCGACGTTTAAATGTGTGTCTAAAGGTGGCTTTGGCGACGTAGGAAGGCCAGAGAAATCCGAGTATAAATACAAATGCCGTTTGTAAACAACCCCGACCATAATAATAAACACGTTGAAAGCATTTCGAATCCGGTCAAAATGTATTTATATGAAGACCAAAACAGTTTCTGCATATTATATATTTTTTAAAGAAAAATTTTCAAACTAATTCAAAATTGATTGGTTATATTTGTATTATATATTTTTCGGTAGCTCGTTTATGTTTTAAAAATATAAAACGTAAATACATAGTTGGACGTAGGGGGCTTAGAGGGTTTCTGCACCCCCTAAAAAAAGAATAAGAAATTAAAAAAGGAAAGAATACAGTGTAGGGTGCAGTTTACGACTGTGGAGAAGATGACTCGTAGACGGTGGTTGGGTGTTAATTGAAGACGCAAACGTGTTGCAGCGTGCCCTTGCACAGTGCGGTAGCAATCGGATGCGGCCCCATTAGCGATGGGGCGCTAAATGCGGTGAGACGCCGCGGGAAAACGTCCTTTTTCGATCATGCAGATAGGATCAAAGTTTAAAAAAATCAAAAATTGTCTGTTTTGAGTCATTTTAAAGAAATTTTTAAATCCATTTTTAGCCCATAAAAAAATCTTCGTTGTTTATAACAAATTTTTGAAGTTAATTTGTGTTTAAGCTTTTTTAAGCCATTTTTGGACCACACACGTAGACAATTTTAACTCTTTACTTCTTCAGTTTGTTCTTTAAATGGTGTATTAAGGTTACACAGTAAGGTTATACAGGGTGATTTATTAGCTCACCAGCAAACTTTGNTAAACTATTTCATTAAATTTTTATAAATTATTAAATAATATATAAATAAAAAGTATTAATATAATCTAATTTTTTTCTACTTTATCGACGCATTTAGTTGTCATTTTTAAGTCATCAAGAAATTGTCAAAATTAATTAACCTTTTAGTATATGCGCTTACATTTGGATCATAGGCTCAGATATTTACAAAAAAGATGATTTTTACAATAATCTTTAAAAATCAAATTAAATTTCGTTTTAATTTGGCAGTTTCAGTTTAATCATTGTTACCAAGAGATGGCGCTTTTAACAACTATCAAGTGGTCCTTATTATGTAAATTAAAGTTATAAAATAATTTAACTTTACTTTTTAAAATAATTTTGAAATATTAATTTTATAAAATTTTTATAAATTATTAAATAATATATTATAAATAAACAATATTGATATCTTCAAATTATTTTCTACTTTATCGGCTCATTTAGTTGTCATTTTTAAGTCATTAAGAAAATGTCAAAGTTAATTAACTTTCAAGTACACGCGTTTACATTTGTGTTATAGGCTCAGATATTTGCGAAACAGCTACGTTAGATTAGTGAGAGCTAGAGACTGAAACGAAGTAATTTATCTCAAATATATTCCTTCCTTTTTTTCCTAATGAAACACTCTGTTTGGCTAACCTTGTACAATATGATTTACGGACCTTGAGTTTAATAAGCTAGTGCTTAATAACAACTAGAACTAACTCCAAACGTAGAACTAGAAACATTCGGGTTTAGCCGTGAGTCTTTTAAGACGGAAATTCAGAGTTATTAAAAGGACGTCACCTTTTTCCAAGCAAATCTTATCCTGTGCAAAACTACCCAATGGCTGTACTATTAAGCTACATATGTTGCATATTATGTGGGACAGTACAAGTGTATAGTAGGAGTTATATCAAATTCCCGGTATAATTGTTAATTTATTTTCTAAACCAACATATTTGTATTAAAATTAAACCCGGTGGTTGTAATGAATCTAAAACACGATTAATAATCATACGGGAACAAGTTAATTATAAGGGATAATCCAT